CAGTCTGTATGAAAGGTGTCATGGTCTTCTCCACAGCCTTCACCTCAGATGCAGACCATGGCTTTCTTACACGTTCTAGGGAGAGAAATAAAAATATATTAGCAATATACACTCCCAGGGTTAGGACCAAGCAGCCTGGCTGTAATCCCCCACCTGGTACACTTACCAGAAGGGGCACTGCCACTACCATGGGGTGCATCTGGATGAATGGTTGAAGGTTCTCCGCTTGAAGTTTCTTTTAGCCCGTCCGTTTGTGAGAGGATCTCTACTGCTCTCCCTGTCGCACAGAAAATAAAAATACAAGTGGCCTTTAGGGGAAAAAAATCATACATATTTTAATAATATCAAGAATTACCTTCAGGCTCAATTTGTATCTGGTCGAGGCTCTTTCCTTCGAATTCCGTCACTCTTCCCTGCTCCATGGCCATCAACACTTTGCTGATTTTGGCCAGCTCCAGTGTCCCCTCTGGTAGTCTGTAATATTGCCTGTGGATGCGAATGTCATGGCCGAGGAAGTTGGCAAGTATGTCCATCTCATTCTCTTTCATATTGAGAACTGTAGACATAGTAAGCTATGTGCTTTCTAAGTTTGGTTGAGGATAGCATCTCTGGATGCACCGCACCACATTCTTTGGCTACCTGGCGTAGGGAGTCTGATCCCCTGATGTGGGTGTCTGCGCCCGGGCGGGAAAAGAAGTATGGGTTATGGTCAGAGATGGAACAGGCCCTTCTGTTCTCCACCAGCACCTCCATCGAAGCAATCATTTCAGGAGTCAAAAGAACCGGCACTTTCCGACTTCTTTTCCCTTTAATTTCAATGCGTTGAAAATGCTGACACAGCTTTTTCTCAAGTTGGGACAGTCCCAGAGCAATGTCAGAATGGATCCCAGTCTTACTTCTTAAGGTAAAGGCTGTCAGTGGCATCTTTGAAACCTCACCTTCCCTTCTTCGATTGAAAATGATGACCTCACAAAGAGTCAAAACTGCCAGTTTAGACCAATGCTTAGACGTTGGCTCACTTATTAGGGTTTGCACATATTCAGGTCGACATACCTCAATATGTGCATGCATGGCTCTAACGTCCTCAGTCAGAGGGAGCAGGTCCGGAGTGTTCCACTTGGCTTGCCGGAGGGTCTGTAGGGCAGCAGAAGAAACACAGACGTCCCACCTCTTCTCAAAAAGCAGCCGGCTTCGTTGGAGGTTTTTAATAAATAGTTCATCAACACAATGCTCCATTTTTGAGTCACATTCAAGAATATCTGCTAGCTTTCTGAGGCTATGGCCGAGTTTGAGGGCCAAGGATGGAGTCTTGTATTGATTTGTTTCCTCATCATATCCAGCCACAGACCTGACTGCATCAATCACATGGTTAAAGTTGGAAGGAATAAAGAAATCCTTAATTGTTTTCAGTTTCCCTGCGGTTTTTGCTTCGTTAATTAACCTACCGACTTCTCTCATTTTCTGCCTAATGTAATCATGCTTAGTCTTATCATGCCCGTGTTTTAAGTACAGGTGCTCTCCGAGTCTCAGAATCCCCTTTTCTGCTTTGACAACACCCGTGACCTCATCCTGATGCATTGCCGAAATTAAAGACCACAGCTTTTTGCTGATGCCCTCCGGTACAGGCTGGGCTAGGGAGCAGAGGGACTGGACCCTACTTCTACCTGGTTTAGCCTGGGCATCTTTCTGTGAAAGCCGTCACCTGGCCACATGCCTCCACAGCGACTTTCGCTTAAGCAATGCCCCACAGTCTATACAGTGCAAAAACTCACTGGATTTAACTGGGGAATTTGGCTGTTTAGCTGGGACTAAAGTTCCAATGCCGGCCTTTAAAACCTCAAAATTGTGCTCACGGTTTCCACTATTTCTGATCAAATCAAACTGAAGTTTACGTGCTTTAGATTTCACAGGTAGAGCCAATGCTCTGGCTACGTCACTTTCATTTCCATGTTTTCTAGTCAAATGACGGGACATTTTGTGGCAGGACATTGAACAGTAGAGGCAGAAGTGTCTCTTGCTGTAAACTCGCCCCCCATTTTTCTTCTTTTGTCTCTGCATGATAACAATCTTATTTGCCTTTGGTTCGTCACTTTCCGAGTCTTGAAGAAAAGTGTTTTTGATTTTTCTTTTTCCATACTTTTTTACAGGTTTCTTCTTGACAGTTAAATCGTCAGAATCTGAGTCGACTTCATCAATTAGGGACTCTTGACTAAGCTGCACAAACAACAAATAATTTGTAATCATTCTATATAACAATTTGAAGTCATGACTTGTAGTCAGCACTTACCAGTGGTTTGTAAGCGTGCGCTTCAGTGTGCTCCTCCATGATTTCTTGCAGCCTAATGAACCACACACTTGCACCTTTTTCTAGCCTGACACCTGATTTCCTCTGTTGTGCTGCTCCATGATTGGCTCCAGCCTGCTGGACTGAAATTGCCCCAGTGTGCCCCTCCTTGATATCCCGCAACCCACCACCAGGGTTCCGACACATAACACACTTTTTTCAGGAAAGTAAACCTCCAGGGGTCCTTTCCATATTTTTACAGAGACTGCATAAGGACCGTTAGAAAAGCATTACCCATTGATTATTAAGCTTGGACCAGTGGGGTCCGGTGTTCGGGCCCCACCACGTAAAACCAGTCCCCATGACGTGAGTGGAATCTCAGGTTATGGAACCCACCAGAAGTTGAAAACAAGTGCACACACACACACACACACACACACACACACACACACACACACACACACACACATGTACTTTACACGGACACAAGTACTTTACACAGACACAAGTACTTTACACAGACACAAGTACTTTACACAGACACAAGTACTTTACACGGACACAAGTACTTTACACAGACACAAGTACTTTACAGAGACACAAGTACTTTGCACAGACACAAGTACTTTACACGGACACAAGTACTTTACAGAGACACAAGTACTTTACACAGACACAAGTACTTTACACAGTTACTTTACACTGACACAAGTACTTTACACATACACAAGTACTTTACACATACACAAGTACTTTACACAGACACAAGTACTTTACACAGGTACTTAACACAGACACAAGTACTTTACACAGACACATGTACTTTACACAGACACAAGTACTTTACACGGACACAAGTACTTTACACAGACACAAGTACTTTGCACAGACACAAGTACTTTACACAGACACAAGTACTTTACACAGACACAAGTACTTTACACAGACACAAGTACTTTACACAGACACAAGTACTTTACACAGTTACTTTACACGGACACAAGTACTTTACACAGACACAAGTACTTTACAGAGACACAAGTACTTTGCACAGACACAAGTACTTTACACGGACACAAGTACTTTACAGAGACACAAGTACTTTACACAGACACAAGTACTTTACACAGTTACTTTATACTGACACAAGTACTTTACACATACACAAGTACTTTACACAGTTACTTTACACTGACACAAGTACTTTACACATACACAAGTACTTTACACATACACAATTATTTCACACGGACACAAGTACTTTACACAGACACAAGTACTTTACACGGACACAAGTACTTTACACGGACACAAGTACTTTACACAGACACAAGTACTTTACACGGACACAAGTACTTTACACAGACACAAGTACTTTACACAGACACAAGTACTTTACACAGTTACTTTACACAGACACAAGTACTTTACACAGACACAGGTACTTTACACAGACACAGGTACTTTACACAGACACAAGTACTTTACACAGACACAAGTACTTTACACAGATACAAGTACTTTGCACAGTTACTTTACACAGACACAAGTACTTTACACAGTTACTTTACACAGACACAGGTACTTTACACAGACACAAGTACTTTACACAGACACAAGTACTTTGCACAGTTACTTTACACAGACACAAGTACTTTACACAGACACATGTACTTTACACAGACACATGTACTTTACACAGTTACTTTACACAGACACAAGTACTTTACACAGACACAAGTACTTCACACAGACACAAGTACTTTACACAGACACAGGTACTTTACACAGACACAAGTACTTTACACAGACACAGGTACTTTACACAGACACAAGTACTTTACACAGACACAAGTACTTTACACAGACACAAGTACTTCACACAGACACAAGTACTTTACACAGACACAGGTACTTTACACAGACACAAGTACTTTACAAAGACACAGGTACTTTACACAGACACAAGTACTTTACACAGACACAAGTACTTTGCACAGTTACTTTACACAGACACAAGTACTTTACACAGACACAAGTACTTTACACAGACACATGTACTTTACACAGACACATGTACTTTACACAGTTACTTTACACAGACACAAGTTCTTCACAGAGACACAAGTACTTTACACAGACACAAAAACTTTACACAGACACAGGTACTTTACACAGACACAAGTACTTTACACAGATACAAGTACTTTACACAGACACAAGTTCTTTACACAGACACAAGTACTTTACACAGACACAAGTACTTTACACAGACACAGGTACTTTACACAGACACATGTACTTTACACAGACACAAGTACTTTACACAGATAGTTACTTTACACAGACACAAGTACTTTACACAGATACAGTTACTTTACGCAGTTACAGTTACTTTACACGGACACAGTTACTTTACACAGATACAGTTACTTTACGCAGTTACAGTTACTTTACACGGACACAGTTACTTTACACAGATACAGTTACTTTACACAGACACAAAAATATCAAGACAAAAATAAGTTGGAATTAAAAGTGTTTTAAAAGTGTGAGGAAATGAGCACAAAACTGTTGTGTAGTAAATGTGAGCTCCTCCCTCTGTCAGACTGACAGAGGGAGGAGCTCTGCAGCAGGAGAACAAGGCCCTCACGGAGCAGCAGGTCTGTCAGCAGGAGAACAAGGCCCTCACGGAGCAGCAGGTCTATCCAGAGCT